GCACCTGCCCCGTCTGCAATCGTTGCTGGGGCAAGATAACAACTGTCCATGATCCCCTCGACCCCTGCAGTATTTGTGCCGTGCCCGAAGTACAATGTGTGTCGATGCACTGCTGAATCCCCGGCCTTGGTGCTGAAGGGCTCCCGGAGGTAGTGGATCCAAAACAGGTGTTGCTTGGATTCCATGCACACAACATGTGAAAACAATGTGTCTTTATCACCTGTGTATGCTTGCGTCGCATTGGCCAAGAAGGTCCACTCCATGATCGGCGGTTCCTTGACTTTGGCTTCATGGTACAACCGGCCGAGGTACCTGGCACTCCGTTCGACCACATCTGGGTGGTTGGCCGTGATCTTCAAAGGCTCAGACCAGCTAACCAGCTTCACTGACATAGCACCTCCAATGGCATCCCTCTCGATGTGATGCTCGGTTTCAAGGTTCTGATCACTCACGTGCAGCCTGGGGTCTGAAGCATGCCGAGGGGGTGCAGGAGGTGGGGGTGGTTTCATGAATGGATCCGTGGAAGCAAGCGCACGTGTTCTCGGATACGCCATGCTGCGAGGTGATGCCCCTGAAGCTGAAGATGCGCGGGACCCTGACTTTACCGCGGGGTAGTGATCCGAGGCCATGCTGTGACTGCCGGTATCGTCAGGTTCCACATCATCCTGTGCAAGCAAAGCTTCCAATGCACCGCCCATATGCAACCTGTCCACTGGTGCCGCCTTAGCTTGTCGGGCTTGTCTCCCGATGGAACCTGGTGCCTTAGTCGCTGTCGGTGGCTGACGGCGAGGTTGTTTCTTCCTCTGTGGGCCCATGTGCGGGGATCGGTTCAGAACCTTAGTCTCGGCATCCGTAGCTTCTGGAACTTCGGCGTCTGATGAGCTGGAGATCTCGGTCGTGGGTGACCGGTTCAAGGATTCCAAATATCCCTGAATGTCTCGGCCCTCTTGGTTTTCTTGAGTGTCGGAGGGGATGTCGACACCTGTGAGATCATCCACCTGCATCGATTGTTCATGTTCCTGAGGCACCCGAAAAGGAGTGTCATGGACGGCGGTGGTAGTGACATCAACACCGCTCACTTCCGAATCTGAAGCCATGTCGCAAGGGAATTCAGAAATTCCGGTGGTCCCTGTGCTTGCAGCAAATACGGCT